TTTTTTGCCATAAGCACATTGCTGTCACTGCTTACAGTGAGAATCATCACTGTCCCTTAAGTATAACACACTTCCAGGAGTAATTGTCTGCCCTAAGGAATCTCATTTCAGTCCTTTACACTCATTATTTCCAACTGACTTTGGGCATAACTCAATCACCACTTACAGGAGAAATAAAAATACCCAGTTCCTCAGGCCATGCAATGAAAAAAACATCGTAGAAATCCCACCCTCTGGATCATAACATCACTAAATACCTCCACATCATCCCAGGAGGGATATGAACAATTCCCTACACAAAGGATACTTGTAGGATGTTGTGTGGCCCCTCCAGGACATCTGTAATCCCCAGAATTAAACTGTGCTTGATAAAGATTTCATTGACAGCTGCCAGCCTCACATCTGTGTTCACGTTTATCTGTGAGAGAATGAAAGAAAAAAATAACATCTCTACGAAAGAAAAGTTGGGGCAAGCTACAAACTGCAGCTGGATAATCCCAAATCCTGGGTTTCTGACAGGAAAACAGTGACATGAGCAGAGTGTGGGCAGGGCAGGGTGTCACCAGCCATCAGGATTGGCCTCTTCACCAGCAGCAGTCAGAAATCCCACTGAGGTTTATTTCTGTCATAGACAAAATGTCTGAAGCTGAATTCACTTCCAGTGTCATGTTCTCCCTTCCATCCCCCAGCAGTCCCTGAGGGAAGGACTCCTCTCCTGAACCTCTGTGCACCCCCACATTCACCAGGTTTCCTCTTGGAGGACTCATTTGCTCCAAAATCCATTTCAAAAGCCTGCTCTGGACTTTGAAAGAAGCCTTTGCAATATTATTCTTCAATAATATTGAAGGCTGTGGGTGCTTTCTCTCACACCAACATCACCTCCCTGCTTCCTTCTGCTGCCCAATCTGCTTTGGGGTTATCATTTTATTGCAACTTCTGTTGTTCTGTTGCAAGGCAGCTGCTGTGGGACCTCGACCCCAGAGCAGGAATAAACAATTCCATTAATTCCAGAGGTAGTAGAGGCTGCCAGGACTGTCCACAGCTGCTGGTGAGCCCCTGTGCCTTCCCACCAGCTGTGGGAGCAGGAGCTGTGCTTTGCAAGGGTTTGTCTCCAGGGTGACCTTGTGGCAGCCTCTCAGTACCTGAAGGGGCTCCAAGAGAGCTGGAGAGGGAATTTGTCACAAAGGCTTGGAGTGACAGGACAAGGGGGAATGGCATCACACAGGGAGGGCAGGGTCAGGTGACAGGACAAGGGGGAATGGCATCACACAGGGAGGGCAGGGTCAGGTGGGATATTGGGGAGAAATCCTTGGCTTTGTGGGTGGGGAGGCCCTGGCACAGGTTGCCCAGAGAAGCTGTGGTTCCCCCATCCCTGCAAGTGTCCAAGGCCAGGTTGGACAGGGCCTGGAGCAACCTGGGATGATGGAAGGTGTCCCTGGAAGGAGATGGATCCTAAGGTCCCTTCCCACCCAAAGCATTCCATGACCTCCAGCCACAGCAGGAGCTTTGAGCCAACCTGAGCAGCTCCAGCATTTCAGCCATGACAACCCCTCCCTTGGCTGTACAACATCCCTCGCCTCAACCTGATCCCTGAATGCTGTAAAAATATTCCTTCCCCCTTGGATAATTTATATTCTTAGTGTGCATCTAGGGAAGAACTCCCCTCAGGAGTCCTGCTCCTCCTGCTCCACATTCCCACACACAATTCCCTCCTCTCACCTTCCTCTGGCGCCGATCAATGACCAGTATGACCAGTACAGTGACTGCCACAGCAGCCAGGGTCACCAGCACACTGGACACCCAGTAGCGTCCAAAGGAACACAGCTGGACCGTGGAGTAAAAGTTTGTCCAGAGAGACATGTAGAAAATCTAGAAAAAAAATAATTAAATAGAGACTGGGGATAGTCACAAACCCGTGAAAGTGAGAAAAGTCACACAAAGAAGAAAACCAACAGTCCCTCTCTCCCTTCCCTCTCGTCATAAATTAAGTCACACGAGATTTTTCAGAGGGTGAGAAAGGACAGAAGGGCTTTCCAATAATAAATAAGGGAAAGAAAGGACTGGAAGGACTGAGTGAGCTCTAGTTTATTGTAAAAAATCACCAGTCACCAAAGACAGAGGGAGTGAATTATTAATGATGATTCATACCCAGGAAGGATTTCAACTGAGTTCTTCCATTTAGAGAAGAAATGCACTCACTGAGGCATATTAGTAATAATTCTAATAGTCCTGTATTTAGAAAGGTCCTGTGTCAAGGTGGTGCAGGGATCACTCAATTACAATAAAGCTCAAACAGTGGACACTGAAACGGGATCAAGGACTATGTTAAGGGCTGACAAACTTGGTCTTTCCATAAAGATGGGAAAAACTGAATTTCTTTACTTCAGACAGCAAGTATTCGGGCAGGAGATCGCTTGGAAGCAAGTGTGATGTGTACATAGCATGTCACAGCATCAGCTTGTAATAACATAATTTATTTGCACTAAACAGGCACCAAACCCCTGGAAACACTGAGCCCCAATCCCTACACTATCAGTGAAAGGAGAAAAAGTTAAAAATCAGGCCTGTTGTAGGTATCTCAGCTACCTCAGCCACGGACAACCTGCTTTGGTGGGACTGTACCAGCAAGAGGCTGGAGGAGGTGCCTTGCCCTCCACCTACAGAAACTCTGTGACCTGGGAGATCTGCTTTTTAACTTGATTTTAAAAATCTGAAGATATTCTGGTCCCAATGCTATTTTAGACCAACGGACCAGTTAACTCTGGTTACTGAGGGGACTGCCTAGAGTTGCTCATCTTCTTCTGGTGAGAGAGGCTCCTCCACAGACCCCACCATCTGCTGCCAGGCCAGTACTTTGTTTGCAGAGTGCTGAGGGTGTGATCAAATCCAGCTCCTTGTTTTAGTTCCTGGGTTTTTTTGCACAGCCATCATACCTGTCTTCTTCTTCTTTCACTAGTAGTGTAGGAATTGGGGCTCAGTGTTTGGAGGGGGTTGGTGCCAAAGGAACCCACTAGGATGGTGAAAACCAGTATTTCCTCCCTGCCCAACCCCTCCCTGGGCACAAGGAAACCAGGGGTAGGTGTTGGTGCCCCTCGGGCAGTGCCTGGAGATCCCCCCTGTCCTCACCACGGCGATGGCAATCTGGAATGCCCGTGAGTTGTAGAACATGTACCTCCTCACTTCAGGCTTCAGGACACCATCCTGGATCAAGTTTTTCCACTGATCCAATGGCACCTGCTCAGGGAGCAAACACAGAACTAGAGCCACCCTCCAGTTTGGGCTCCCAGTCCCCCCAGACCCAGGCTGGGCAAACCTCGTGGGGCCAGCCTGGCACTGCAACCCGAGTCTGTGTCCCCTCCCACAGAGAGCATCTCCAATCCCACCCATGCAGCTCTCACAGACCAAAAACTTGTGTTCTTGCCCCATTTGCAGTGAGGAAAATCTGCCTGGAATATCTGCCTGGAAAGGGCAGGGAAAGGCACAGGAGGAAAAATGCCTTTTTTATGAGGAGGGACAAGACAAGACAGGTTGTCCCAGGGATTCCCTGACCCAGCAGAGTGACTTCCAAGCAAAATTCACTCCAACCCATGTTCAAAGAGTTTCCTCATGGAGGTTTAATCCAAGATCACCCCAGCTGACTCGCAGCTGAAGTTGAGCTGAAACAAGCACCTCTCAAAACAAAAAAACCCCAAGCTGTCTGTGATGTGGCTGTGAATGCAAATGATGCCAACCTAGCTGGAATTAAACTCCCACAGCATCCCCAGGGCAGCTCACCTGGACCCCCAGGGCCTTCAGCTTCTCTGCACAAAGCTCCATGTCAAAGGAGGAGGTGGAGCAGGTGTTGTCCATGCTGAGCACCAGGAGCACCTGGTCTTTGAGGGGTTCTGCAAGAGCCCAAAGGAGCCATGAGCACCCCACTGCAGAGGGAGTTTTCTCCCAGCAGCCAAGAAACACATGGCAAAGGGAAGGCTGAGAATCTAAGACCACCCTGATGTGTTGGAAAAGGATCCAGAATCCCCCTTGGACATTTCTAAGGAGCTCTGGAAGCAGCCTGATGTAAGGAGACAACCCACAAAAAGGGAGGAGACCCTGAACACATTCCAGGAGTGAGCAGAGATAACAAGAGATAACATGATGCTCTGATCTTCAGCCAGATAATGTCTTGTCCCACCAATCCCTGACTGAAAGGACAAAGGCCTCAGGCTGCTGAGGGTTGTTAAGGTTGATCTACCTCTTAGAGATCCCCCCTTGGCCTGCCCACCCCACCCACCACAAGCAACAGCTGGAGCAATCAAATTAAAGTGCTTTCCAGCAATCACATTGCCTGGGATGTGGCAGGGCCACCCTGGAACCTCCCCCCTGATCCTCCAGTGCCCAGTTCCCCACTCCAGCAGTGCTCCTGGAATCAGCTCAAGGCCCTCAGCTTCCCAGTGTCACCTCAGAGTTGTAAGCTAGAGATCCCAGTCACAGCCAGGAGCCTAAAAACTGTGAGGACAGCCTGTCCTAGATTTGAGGAGCAGCCTTGGAGCAGCACAGGAGAGCTGTGATCTCCAGGCATCCCATCTGGCATCCACCTAGAGCTTACACAAGCTGTGCTACAGCAGGAGAAAGAGTTCAGGTCTGAGGAAGTGGCTTGTTCAGCTCAGATCCTGTTTCACTGAAATGTTTCCCTCAGCTTTCCTTCCCCTTTGCAGCTCCCAGGTCAGCTGGGTGTCCCCTGGGCTGCTCCTGCTGACACTTTGTGCTCTTCCAGTGTTGTTCTGGTGGAACACCACGTGTTCACCTTTCCCTTCTCCCTCATTTCCATCCTCATCATCTCCTCACTGCTCAGGAGCAGGGGATGCCACATGGAACGAGGCAATTCCAATGGGGTGTGACTCCATTGAGCCAAAAGGGGAAGAGCAGGAGCAGCTGGAACCTCCAGGATCACAAGGTGCTGTTTGTTTGCTGAGCTTTATCTCCTCCTGGCACAGAGCAGTGGAGATGGTGATGATTATAAAGCAAAAATAAAACAAATGGCCTCAACCTTGGGCCCAGCTCTCCTGTTCTCCAGGACTTTAGTCTTGAACACTTCCAGGGATGGGGCAGCCACAGCTTCTCTGGGCAACCTGTGCCAGGGCCTCCCCACCCTCACAGGGAAAAATTTCTTCCCAATATCCCATCTATCCCTGCCCTCTGGCAGTGGGAAGCCATTCCAACTTGTCCTGTCACTCCAGGTCCTTGGAAATAGTCTCTCTTCATCTTTTTTTTAGGCTCCCTTCAGGCTCTGGAAGGCCTCAATCAGGTCACTCCAAAGCTTCCCTTCTCCAGGCTGAACAATCCCAACTCTCCCAGCCTTTCCTCCCAGCAGAGCTGCTCCAGCCCTCTGATCATCCTGGTGCCTCCTCTGGACTCTCTCCAGCAGCTCCATGTCCTTGCTGTGCTGTTCCCCAGGGCTGGAGCAGCTCTGCAGGGGGGTCTCACCTGAGGGGGCAGAGGGGCAGAATCCCCCCCTGCCCTGCTGCCCACACTACAGGTCAAGTTTCCCAAATTTGTCTTGGAAGGCCAGGAGAAAAGGACTTCCAGGGTCCAGATTTTCAATAGGTTGATGTCCATTCATTCCTATATATTGGGTATTCCAAAAAAGTCAGAGTGTCTCCATCCCCTTCCCAAAATGCTGAAACATCCACACTGTTCAGTCACTTTGGCAAATGAGATGCTGTTAAAGAGCATCTTTGAAAAAGTTTGTCTGTGGTTATTTTAAGGGCCCTGTGCTCAGATTTGCCTCTCTCTTCATCAACAAGCCACTCACCTGTCACCCACTGCAGGGATTCTTCCTTTAAATCACTCTTACAGTAGAGGAGGGAGGACCCATTTTTCCCAGTCCTGCCAGTTTGGCTTTTCTGGGCCATGTTGGAGGTGCCTCTCCCTGAGGGATTCTCTGTTGTGGTGTGAGAAATTCAGCATTTATCTCTCTCCCTGCTGAGAAGCACCAGCTCAGCCCCCCCAGCAGCCAGCAGACTGTGAAACCCTCACTCACACTCCCACTGCTGCCTCCCTCGAGATCCTGCTTTCCACGAGCCAGGAGGCATTTTTTTTTTAGCCCTGAAAAGAGAAAAAGAAAATCCTAAATCTTGCAGAGACAGCAAATAAGGGATAACAGCAGTGACTTTGCTCCTTGGACCCTGCACTTGGCAGGTGTTGGGCAGCCCTGAGCACAGTGAGCACACACTCGCCTCCTGCTGCAATTACCTTTGTTGTCTGTTAATACCTGGAAAAGTTGTCCTTAAATATTCCTTAAGTTATCCTGACATCCTTAAGCATTCGTATTTTGTAAGGAATTGGTCAAGAACAGGCAGGAATTCTCCTTGTGAAGCCAGCGGGCTCTTTCGGAACCTGGAGCCGGTGGAAAACCCCGTCCTTGGAAGCGCCACACCCCGCTCACCGAGCCGGGGATAAATCCCCTCCTCACGGAGGGAGCAGTGCAGATCAGGCAGAAAAATGTCTCTGCTGAAGGCAGAGCCAAGCAGGAGCTCTCACCCGGAGCAGCAAAGCCTTTGAGGGTCTCTGCTTTCCTCTCCTCTCCCCTCAGTGCCAGGAGCCGACGGGCAGGTTCTCACAGCAGGCACTGTGCCCACGGGTTTGCCTGCTGATGTAAGTCTCTAAACCACTGCCAGGACCTGTGGGCGGCTATTAAAGCTTGGAAGACTGAAGTTTACTTTTCAATTATCTTCCCCCTCACGTGGCTCCGCTACATCCGCACCAGCTCTCCAAAAACATCACCCACTTTTTAACCTCTGCGTGGAGCAGGAGCCTGTTGCTGTCTCCTGGTGTGAGAGTCCCACATGGATTTCCCCCACTCTCCTTCCAAAGAGGGTTGTTTTCTTTCTGACTGGGGGTTGTTGCTGCAGTTCCCCCCTTGCACACAGCCAGGATAGTCCCCGGCAAGAAAGGAGGCAAGAGAAACAGGAGAGGTTCTGCTGGCAGGAAAACCCCCTCAGAGGGCTGGAAACTCACCCTTAAAGGGGACGAACCACGATAAATGTTGCACAGGAGGTGTGCAGTGTGTGTGTGCACAGGGTGGGCACAGCACCTGCTCTTCAGGTGAGGAGCAATTCCTCTGAATTCTGAGCACAGCCCTCCCACGAGCAGCCACGTTGTTACAGAGCACATGAACCAGCACCAAAAGGTGGATTGAGACGGTGAATTTTCTCCCTCCTTCCCCCCTTTTGCCATCAGTCCTTTCAGGTTAGCATCAAACAAGAAGGGAAAACGAAAATCAAGACAGAAAAGCCCAGAGAAAACAGCAGCAAAGAGTGAAAGAACAGTGGGAACTAGAGGAAAATCTAATTAGAAACTAAAGAAAAACCTACTTAAAATCAAACAACCTGTTGCTGCTGCTGGCACATCAAGTTAGAGGTGAATCAAGGCTCTGTGGCTTAGATGTCTTAGAGAATCTGGGGTCCCTGGAGGACAGTCCCCAGGAGGTGAGAGTGAAGGTGCAGCAGGTCAGGGCAGCTCAGCCATTCCCAGCCCATCAGGGAGCTGCAGGAAGGAATAGCCTTCCCCAGCCAGGACAAGCTCCTTGCCCAAAGCAGCTTTGCTTTTGCCTCTTTGTGCAGCACAGACCTCATTTGGCTCTGCTACCTTTTACTGCAGAACTGCCCATTTTGGAGGTGGAGCCCCCCTGCCCCCCCCAAATCTTCCTCTGGTGCCTCCTGTGCCAGCTGGAGGAGCAGCCTCTCATCTCCTGCACTCCCAGGCTCTGTCTCTCAACATCTCTTCCTATTTTTTATGCAATGCCAACGTCTCTCTGGTGACTTTGCCTCCTTCAGGCTGTGGACCCTCTTTTTCAGACACCTCCAAGCCCTCACTAAACAGCAGAGAAACATTCAGCCAGTCCTGCTTCATTTCCCGAGCTGCCAGCAGAGCCTTACCTGGTCCAGCTCGCTCCCGGTCCTGGGAAGGCAGCTCAGCTCCCTCCTCCTCCTCCTCCTCCCTGACCTTTCTGTGCCATTGTCCCACTCTGCAGTACCCAGGTGCCACCACCAAGCAGGAAGTCTCTGGTCCTGCAGCCCCAGCCTGTGCTGGGAAAGTTCCCTCTCTTGCCTGTGTCTCCCTGGCTCACAGACTAACCAGGCACAGCTCAGCCCCTGCCTCCCTCTCCTCACCCCGAGCTGCAAGCACCAACTTGCAAAATCTCCCTTGTGCATGTGACTGTTCCCCTGGGCTGCTTTCAGAAATGTGGTTTTAACCCTCTGTGGTTCCTCAAAAGTGTTCCCACGCTGAAGGCACAGCCATGGGAGCAGAAACTCCCCACCCCCCCAGGAATTATCCTCACCTTTGGCAGGGTGGGGGGCCAGAGCTGGAGCTGGACCCTGAAGCCTGTGCAGTGTCACAGAAGTCTCTCCTCCTCCTCCTCCTCCTTGATCAGCCAAGCAGAACTAACAAAGCACAAATCCCACAGTTACATCAGATTAGTTGCTGTGGGAATATTAAAGCCAAACACCCCTGACAGGGCTGGAGACACCAGAAGAGGCAGATGAAGATCTCGAGGCTGACAACAGGTCACTCACATTTGGCAAAAGGTCACGTCAAAGCCCAGAGGAACAGGGATAACACGCAGGGCAGGAACTGTAGCCCTCCTCATACCAGGAGGCTGGGCTGAGAGGGAGCAAGTTTCCTCTCCAGCAACTCCAGGAGAAAAGCAGAAGGCTCAGGCACGTGGTCAGATGGACCCTCCAGAGCAGCTTCAAGTGCTGGAGAAGTTGTTTCTTCCATGCAAGGAGACAATGCTGAGAAAAACCACGAAAAGGAGACTCCTTGGCGTGGGAATCGTGGTTTCAGAGCTCACCAAAAGCTGGAGGATCCATGGAGGGTTGGAACAGAGCAAATCCAGTGTCTTGAGGACTGTTAGTTTTAGTGAATGGTTGAAAAAAAATTTGAAAAAAGCAGCTTCTTGCAGTGCCTGTGGACACTTCCTGGAGCAAAGGCCACCCTTCTCTTGGAGGGATGGGTTCCTGCAGCCCTGCCTGCCCCAGGCATGGCTGAGTGATGTGTTCATCTCACCACGTGGCTGCACAGGCCACAGGAATGACTCCAAAGCTCCTTACATGGGATCTTGGGAACTGGGATCTGGGAACTGGCACAGCAACACCGTCCAGGTATTGAGAAAAATCAGATAAACCCTGCTGCTGTCACCAGCTCCAATCCCCACCCACGAAAAGCTTTGGGCTCTTTTGTAAATGCTCCTCATCAAAAGCTTTGGCTTTGTTTCCTCCTCTCCTCACCCACACAAAGATTCCAGCAGGGAATGATCACCCAAGTGCTTCCAAAGAGGACTGTCAGCTCTGCACGGGAAAATGCCCCAGGCCAAACCCTGTAGGGGCAATAAACTTGAAAGCAACAACAATAATTACCTGTGAGGTGTCCACAAACCCTGTGGGATCTTGGCACGTCAGCACAAGCAGAAAACTCCTGCTCCTCTGTAAGTTTGGGATCACCAGACTCGCTGAGGCTCCAATCCCACACTGCTTTGGGTGGGAAGGGACCTTAAAGCCCATCTCATTCCAACCCCCAGCCACAGGCAGAGAACCTTCCACTAGACCAGGTTGCTCCAACCTGACTTTACCGAATTATTTGCTGGCTCTGGGGGAGTTCCCCCCCATTTTCCCGATTCCTGCAGTGCTGTAGCAGGTTATGGATTCCTTGGAGCTGGTGTATTTGATTTCCCCCTCCTCAGGTTGGTGTTACACTCCTCTGCAGGGAGCCTCATGCTGTTGGTCTCAGATCATTTCTCCCACTTCTCAAGATCATTTGGAATTGGGATTCAGTTCCTCTGTACTGTTTGTATCTCTTCCCAGCTTGGTGCCTGGGACATACCTTGTACTCCCTGTTCCACATGCTGCATTAATGAATATATTACAGGGAACCTGATTCCAGGAAAAAAAACCAACCTACTGTTTGAAGTGCTTTTCCAGACTTTTCTGACCCCTCCTGCCCTCAGGGATAAACTCACCCCCCATCATGTCCTTAACATCATTTCTGAGGTGGCTCTTTGCTACCTACTGCAAGTCCTACTGCTTCAAAAACAAGACATACACACTTTAGTCTGGTTTTCCCTACCCTGAGACCATATCTCCTCTATATTTACTAGATGTTTTGATAAAGTGAACTCTTTTTGCAGTGTTTGGAAGGCTGATAACACAGCCCTGACTGGGATTCCTGCTTTATTGGCCACGCTCTGCACACAGTCACAGTTTCTCTCTCCATCAGCCTCCTTTGGACTGTGCTCACTGCAGCCAGCACTGGCACATCTCATTTTCTTTTGATGAAACTGCGTTTTCAGTGGAGAACTGTGCCATCTTTTCCCTATTTATTTTTTTCCTAGTGAGCCCTAATTAGGAAGACAAGGTTATTGAAAGCCTTGTCTTGCCCTTCCTGCACACAAAGTCCTTTCACAGGCTCTGAGTTGTTGGTTGTGTTGGTTTTTTTTTCTCAAACAGCTCGGCAAAGCTGACAGATTGACAGTCATTAAATGTAAAAATTTATTGCACAATATCCCTAAATTACAAGTTTCAAATGAGAAATGACATTTGCTTAAGGCACAAAGTGTGGTTCTCATCTTTTTTTTTCCCTATTTCTGCCTCTTTCCTATGAAGACTTAAAGTATTCTTCTTTTTAGTATGGTAATGCAAAAACCTCTTTCTTGCATCTCAAATTAGAAGAGGGAAAGCTCACTGTGTGCCTTGGATAATGATTCAGCTATTGATCCAGAAGATGCTTTATTAGATTATTTTGAGGCAGACGAATGTAATTTAATACCAATTTATTTTCTATTCCTATGCCAGTCCCAGATACAATCTTTTCTGCATGAAATTAGCTCTTTCTCCTTTCAACCTCAAAGAAAGATTACACTTTGCTCCTTGCTTGGATTAGCTGGGGGAACTTTTTCACCAAAATGTTGATTTTGAGGGTTCTTGACAGTAGTTTCAATACCTCGAAGTCAAAACCTCAGCTGGGATTAGTGGGTTCTAAGCTTGCCTCTCTCATTATTAATGCAAGAACTAATGATGTCTGATAAATGGGAGATTCCAGAGGAGGAAGATAGAGGGAAAGAGGAAAATTGAGCAGGTTTAATGCAGGCAGAGAGAAGGAAACAACCTACAGAGGACACTGCATGATGGTACCACAGGAGGATTTGGGGCAGCCAAAACAAGGGGCTGTTTTTGTGCCCAGCTCTGGCTGGGATGCACCATCCTGCTGCTCACACCTCCCACCAGCTGCCTCCCAGGCCAGGAACTGCTGGCTTTTCTCTAGGGTCACTTATTGCCACCAAATTCTGCCTGCTCTGGGGTCAGATGTGGGAGAAAACGGCAGGAGCCTAAATGTGGGGATAGCAGGAAAGGAACACAGACACTGCCAGCTTGTATCTAGTGTTTAAAAAGCTCTGCTTTAATAAAGATCGTCAGGGACCTCACAAAAGCTGAAGAATGAGGTGTTTAAGGTTGTCAAAGGGGGACTTGCACACTGGAATACCTCAAAAGATTCACTGATGTTCCCAGCTGGCACAGGCAGCCTGGCAGCACAGGGAAAGGCTCACTGACTTCTGGCACTGGGAAAATGTGGGGTCCTCTCTCCTGGTTCTGAAAGTGCCCAAAACAATCCCACCCTGTCCCTCAGAGTGTTGTCCAAACCCTCCTGGAGCTCTGGCAGCCTTGGTGGAGGGAAGATCTCTAGAGGTGAAAACTTCTCTAAAACTAACCAAAAATTTTAAAAAAAAAAAAAAAATGTAAACAGCACACAAAATGCTCCTCTAAACATTATAAAATGATGATTTTTAGGCCCCAGGAAGGCCCATGAGCCAAAGGCAGGCAGAGCCAGCCCCCTTGCCATGTCACACGGGCTGAATGACTGTCCCAGCAGGGCACTGCCTGGCCCTGTGCCCACAGCCCCCAGTGGGATCCCCCAGGGACCCCCCTGCCCTCACTGCCCCCCCCTCACTTCATCCCTCCTGTTCATTACAAGCCCCTCCTCTCATGGTTTTGGATTTAACTGCAACGAAGGCACGGGGGATCAAACCCATCCTGGCTCTGAACTGACCAAACAAATATCCAGCATCATTAGACAGGGCAGAGGGGTTCAACCTGCCTGGGGGGGGGCTTTGATTTCCCCTCTGCCCCCCTTCCAGAGGGGTGCTGAGCTCTTCAACTCCTTGCTTGACTGGGCAGCAGTGAGGAGGAGACAGTGACCTTCACTGGACAGCGTGAGCCGAGTGGGGAGCGAGCTCTGTCAGTATAGACCTGCCTTCAAAATTGAACTCTGGCTTCAAGCAGCACAAATATTTATCCTAATTGTACCTCAGACTGCATGTTAAGCCATCCAGATGACATTCATATCCTGGTGTTCGTGTCATGTGTCCATCTGGTGCTTGTACAGATGACACACCTTCTCAATGGCACGGTAAAGGTGACAAGTGTTAATTCTACAAATATACAGATAATGCCCGAAAAGAACCTCCACAAAAATCAACTCCAACCCATTGTTGATGAGCAGGGATGTGACCAGAGGCAAACTGAACTGTGTGACTCCTGGTCTGATCCCAGGAAGGTGTTTATTTGTGAGCAGTTTTAACTGGGAGGAATCAAGAACAGCAGCCCCTTACTGACACTGCAGCAACAAGACACGAGTGCTGATCATTCCTTACCTCCCTCCAGCACCAGGACTCTGATATTCCTGGCACTCAGGTGGTATTTCCAGGGAGGGGACCTCAAATCAAGGGTATCAGGCAGTGTTGGGTATGCCCAAAGCAGCTTCTGGCTCTTTCTGTGGTACAGGTGATGCTTGTGGTACAAAGAGACATCAGGGATTATCACAGAACCACAGACTGGTTTGGGCTGGGAGGGACCTCAAATCTCATCTCATTCCACCCCTGCTACAGGCAGGGACACCTTCCACTAGCCCAGGATGCTCCAAGCTCTATCCATTCCCTGAACACCTCCAGGGATGGGGCAGCCACAGCTTCTCTGTGCAGAGGAGCAGCAGGGAAAATTCGGGGACAGATTTGTACCAGCAGCTGGGTTTGGGTCTCACTCCTACTCATCAGACTCGCTGCAGAACATCTAGAAAATCAGATTTCAGAGGCAAGAAGCCACGTTTCCCACTCCATACCTCTGTCAGAAGAATGTTCCCTGCAGAGTATTTTCCTGGCACAGCCTGGCTTAGGCACTCAGACAGCACCAGGGCTCCCTTTCCCAGAGCAAGATAAAAGAATGTCAACTTGAAATAAAACCTCTACGCTGCAAACAAAGCCAGCCTTCCTGGAGAGCAGTAATTGGAAACCCTTCCTTCAGTGCAAAGTTATTCTCAACAGTTAAGTTTCAGGGAAATATTACAGAAAACTGTTATTCTTGCAGCACTTCTGCATGTTCTGAAGGGAGTGACTTCACAGCACATTTGCCAAGGAGAAACGATTGGGGAGGGTTATTTTTCCCTTTTTCTCCTGCCTCTCACTGTTCTAGAGAGGAAGGATAAAGTCCTCATTAACAAAGGGAAACTTAAGAACCAAAAGGAGAAAGTGGGGCACACACTGTAGCCTTCCTGGCCAGAGCAGGAGTCTGTCACTGGTAACAAAGGGGATGAAATCACTAATTACAGCCCCAGGCCAGGAGGGCTTTCATGAGCAGTGTCCTGCTGCAGCCTGAGCACCTGCTCTCCACAGGCAGAAATGTTTCATCTCCAAAGGACACACCAGAATTAACATGGCTGTAACCTTTTATGAGGCTATAGCACCT